ATGGGAGGAATATTAAAACAAACTAGCTGAAGCAATTCAGGAGATTGGTTATTTTATGAACATGTTTAAAAATAAAGATTAAAAGGTAACACTTTTGATAAGAGAATCCAGATTCAAGAAATTGATCATACCCGAATAAGAATATGGTCTACACAGTTTGCAAGAACAGTAGATACGACAAGTCAGTATAAATCTAATCGGCATAAAAAATGTTTTTTAATGCAATTATAACATAATAAGTGTAAATTAGTAGAAGTTGAACAACTAGACAGTAAGTAAACCATGCTGACCAATATGAAGCTGATTCTTCAGATTTATTGTCAAAAAATCAGTCAGTAAAGCCTCGAAAATTTTAGGAATAGTAGAAAGAATTATAATGGAACGATAATTAGGAATCTAATTAAAAATCCTTTGTAATAGGTATATATTTAAGGCCCAAACGGGCTAAGTTAAAAAGACAAAACGTTTTCGGAACCATGGAAACCATGTTCCATCATCAGTGTCTACTGATGACAGACATCATCACAGACAGACTAGACACTGATGATGGAACATGGTTTCCGAAAACGTTTTGTCTTTTTAACTTAGCCCGTTTGGGCCTTAAATATATACCTATTACAAAGGATTTTTAATTAAATTTTTAATACATGGTATACAGCCAACTACAGGAACGTAGATTCCTTGTGAATTTTATTTGACGGTATGGTCAACTTGGCTTCTCAGTACATAGACACTGATGATGGAACATGGTTTCCGAAAACGTTTTGTCTTTTTAACTTAGACCGTTTGGGCCTTAAATATATACCTATTACAAAGGATTTTTAATTAAATTTTTAATACATGGTATACAGCTAACTACAGGAACGTAGATTCCTTGTGAATTAGGAATCAATAAGTTAATGGCTGAATCAATGGATAAAATCAATAAATAAATTGTGATGAAAAGTGACCCTCAGAGATTTATAAAAAATAAACCATAGAGGCCTACATAAAAAGAATGCACAATTCCTTAAAAACAAGTTACGATATTCCATCTGGACCAAGACCTTTATTGGTATTAAGACACTGTAAGCATGCTAGAATGTCACAAATTTTAATAGTTAAAGAGTAAATATGGCTGTGACTGATATGGGATTTTTGACTACACTTGTCTACACAGGAGAAAGAAGGATTGTGAATACTGCTAAAAAAATTGGCAAAATAGTTGAAACTGTGGCTCACTAAAAACAGAACCATTCAACTTCCCTTATCCATTCCCATTCTGATTTACCTTACAAGTGTGTGGTCGGCAATTGAAAGCAGACAAGTTAATTGTTGAGTTTTAAAGTTGAAATCATAAGTATGAAAAAGATCAATACTTAATATGGAACTTTGTTTTATTTCAGCAGTAGATACTGTTTTAGGTACCTATTTTTAAATAATAAAACAGTCTCAAAAATTGACTGTTCTTTCTGTGCACCAACCACACAATTTAATCATTACAAAATTAATCATATTTGCTAATGCAACATGCAAATTAAATTTTATTTGCCTCCTCTTTACATCTCAGATATTTCATTATCAAGTTTCAATTTCCTTCTCCATGGCAACACTGGTCTTGGAGTTTTTTCAGGCAGCATCTGAAAACAAAATTAATGTACTATAATGTAATGTAATAAATTGAACAAATTAATTTCAGATTTAGTTCATTATACTTTGCTTATTGTAAATAAATCATCATTCAAAGGCGTATGATTAAACAACTGAATTTCAAGTGCTGCAGTTTTAATGGATCTCACCTGAACTAGAAGAATACCAACAAAACCATTGGTATTTATTTCTAATGACCAAATGAGCAGTAATTACACTTTGATTGATACTTAAAAAACAAAAATAACAGTGTATAAATAAAATATATACAGCCAACAACAAACCTTCATCTCATATAGCTAAGTGTAGTTCTTAAAGCAATCTCATAGCCAGACCTGAACATTTGTGAAATGGTAAAATTTGCCATCTGAATTACATATAAGACACAGTTAATGATATGCTTCATCGGCTGTATATGGTCACTTAAGTGATAGTGTAAGTTTTTAAATGTTCCTTAGATTGATTTATGTTTAACAGTTACAAACCTTTTAAAATCAGAGCTATATGCGTGTCTTCAAAAGTTTTATATTGCTTTTTCCCTAGCCACCTATATTTTCCTTGAATTTTATTGCAGAACATCTTCTTATGGCTTCTCCTAACAAATTCGTTTATGATTTCCTCACCAATTTTGGAAAGCTCATTATCCTAAAATATAAATCAACATGTAACAGTAATCTAACTACTCCACAAACTTGATCATCCATGCTTAATTATTTTAGTTTAAACTATCTAATAAAAAAAACAGGCTCTGTTAAAAAATCAAACAAACATTCATTTGCAAATTTTGGTTTCTCATAACCATGGTAAATGTCTATTAAATTTACAATTTTAGGATATATCAACAAATTATACAAACTACGATAAAACTGACTACTAAAACTCTTTTTTAATGAGATTCCATAAAAATTTACACACATTTCTATAACATTGTTTTATTGTGAAGATAAAAATATGTTTGAAATTTGAATCATATGGATCAGAGTAATTGTTCTCTGGGTGAAGCAAGAAGGGTTCTAGCATCTGAACTTAAATGAGAAAGATCAGGAACTTCTTTATAATTTTTTAATAAATCACCTAGTATTAAAGGACAAAGTCCAGTTGAATAAATTATTAGAAAAATTAAAAACATCTCGATAAGGTTCTCCAGAATTCTCGTTACAACCATATTTAAACCCTTCTTCAGTTTCATTGAAAAAAAAGCTTTGTAAAGTATCATTGGAATGGTCGGCCACGTGGTAATTTGGATTATTTTAGGCACTTAACATGTTAATAAAAAGTTTAAATCGGAAGTATTGTAACCAGAACTACATATTTGAACTGAAACTCTCGTCAAAATTATCAGTTAGTGATTCCGAAGAGGTTTGAAGAAGACGGAATATGGGGGTTATTAATATTTTCAACAATATTCTCTACGTTTTTCGTAACCTTCCTCTGTTGATGACGCTTAGAAACAAATCGTTTACTTTTAAACATAAACAATTTTAAGAAAAATTACTTACCTTTTTGTAATAAAATAAAAACCAAAATCGCAAATAACCTAACAAAAATGGTACCAAACTTTTAACCACAGTAGTGTGTTTTAACCATGCACTATTTTAAAAAAGACCAATGCACTGTATACTGCTTAAATAGAGTTATTTTATTTCTTTTATTAAAGCAATAATAATAATAATAATATGATTAAACTGTGCCATTTGTTTAAATTAAATAGGTATGACATGACAATGACAATATTGACAATATTCATCAATCATCAGATGTCATATCACATCATTATTTTTCATTATTTTGTCTTTGAAAAGACAAAAGAGACAATTATTCTGTGAAAAAGATTATCAAGATTCGTCTTGTCGATAAAAATCATATTTTTACTTATTATAATTAGCAAACATATATATTATTATCTTAATAACTAGAATAATAAAACAATTGTAACGAATTATCTAGAAATAAAAGATTTTTACACTTTACCTAAAACCAAAAACATATTAAACTATACAATTTTTAATTAATTGTGATTTAACCTTTTCGCTTTTAATTATTTTATTAACGTAAATAATTTTTTATTTTATTGAAATATTTGCTATACGTCCATTTTACGTCCAGGGACGTCCGGACCAAAACTGGACGTATATTGGACGTCCATAGGACGTCGTGTGTTACTAGGGATATACTCCAAAAACATTTTTAGAGAGGCCTTGGATCAATCAGAAGATGGGATTGCTGTAAATGGCCAACTTATAAACAACATTAGATATGCAGCCGATACAGTGCTGCTGGCAGATAGTGCATAGGGGCTCCAAAGAATGATGCATAACTTTGTAGAAGCGTGTAACAAATACGGCCTAAAACTAAATTGCAAGAAGATAACAATAATGATCATTAGTGAGAACATTGGCATAAACGCCCAAATTACGATTTACGATATACCGTTAGAAAGAATGGAAAACATTTGCTATTTGGGCTGCAATATTAAGGATACTTGGGATCACAGCTACAAAATAAAAACTCGTACTTAACAAGCCAGAAGCTCTTTCAACAGCCTTAGCAAGATTCTTTACAACTTATCTTTAAGTATCAATATACAAATAAGAATTTTTAGATGTTACCTCTTTAGTGTCCACCTCTATTGAGTACAAAGCTCAAGCCTTACAGAAGATGACATAAAACGGTTAAAGGCATTTGAAATGTGGTGCCACCGACGTGTGCTAAGGGGCTCATATATACACCACACAAGTAACATAACTCTTTTCCAGAGGCTAATAAAAGGCAAAGAAATTATTAACACCATAAAAAACAGAAAAGGTTTACTTCGGCCACATCATGCGTAATGATAAATACCGACTTCTACAGTTGATTTTACAAGGCAAGATTCAGGGTAAGACAAGCCATGGACGCAAACGTATATAATGGATGGCCAATCTTAGAAAGAACATCTCTAGAAGATAGGCATATTAAGAAGAAGCAAGAAAATATCTGCTGTTTTATATTCATATGTTTTATATCAATAAATAAAAAATTTTCGTTTTTAAAAATATTAGCTATTTTACTATATTGTCCAAATTTACAAAATCTTAATCTCTACAGCAATTAACTTACTGTTTGGTCCTATTATCTGCAAAACGGTTGACGTCTACTTCTAAGGTTATAATATAACCCTATAAGGTTATAATAATATTATCATTTCTAGGCCTTACATCCACATTGGCTATTTTATTGCTAATATTAATTTTTTAATATTATTTCATATTTGCAAGGACATTTTCCTGGTCTTATATTTCTATATTTACCAAATTTAGACATATTCTACATTTTTATTACAATTTATAGTTACTGATATTTCATTACTACATTTACCCTATCTTTTTTAGGGTAGCTGCGTGTGGTCAAACGCCACAGGGAGGCAAGTGATATTAGGTGATACTTCTTTACTAAATTTGACTGACATAGAAAGAAAGGTATTACAGAAAGTAGCTATAGCAAAATTACAAGCGTTAAATTTGGGCGTCAATATCAAATTACCAACTGGTAAGTATCTTTTTTTATTATTTTAATTGATTAGTTACTGCAAATATGTAGTGGAAATGCAAAAGTTGGTCACTGTATGTACATTTATTATTGGAAGATGGCCATTTATTGTTTTAGATACATATATATATATATATATATATATATATATATATATATATATATATATATTATATATATATATATATATTTATTTATTTATTGGATTATATATGTTGCGTTAATTTTTGAAGTCAAATAAATTGTACATCTTTTATGAACTCTTGTTTTATATACAGTATAAAACTAATATATTTCTATTTTTCTTTTAAAAAATTAATTGAACTCTTATATTTATAAATGCGTGGTTTTAATTTAAATCTTTTTACATTATAAGTTTCTCGTTATATTTGTAAGCTTATTGACGTACTAAATTAAACTGATGATGTGTATAGTTTCATACACGAAACGAATGAAGTAGTAAAATCCTTATTTTCTTCTCTTACTCTTGTGACGGCAATGTATCTCTGTGTATCCTTGTGAACCAAATACGCATTCCTTCCTCACCTGCTTGGGAATCACCAGTAACAACCTAAGCTTGACAGTTTATTTTTAACTGGTCATTGTCAAGTAAGCAAACACCTTACTGTGTATCTACTAGTCCCATCAAACTGGCGCTGGTAGACACAAGTCTATGCAGAAAGTATGACCAAGAAGACGAAACTGTAGAGCTTGTCCTATGTGAATGCTCGGAGTTATCGTTAATATGATAATACGAGAGTACATGTTGAGCGAGACCTGGCTCGCACCTGCCAACACAAGGGAAATGCCTTCTAATAACCTAATAACTTGTTCAACTTCCTAGATATAGCAGGATGGACAATGAGCTAAGGACGACAGCTTCCGGGAGGATGCACAATGAGTCAATTGTGGCCTAAGTTTTGTCTACGACAACTATCCATGTGAACCCAATATTATATATATATATATATATATATATATATATATATATATATATTTATATTTGGAAAGGTTTCCGCGGTTAGTATAATTAAATAATCTAGAGCTAGAAATTAATATTAAACTCACCAGTTATCTGGGTTGAACCGTGTCGATATCATTGCGCCGACATGCTCTTCGATATCTTCAGGGCTTCCGAGGTCTGAGTCCCCGATCCCCCAGACACTACTACACTGACCACTAATCAAATCATTCTTCTTCTTCTGAGGGTACCTGTTCGTTCCGAACGTTGGCGATCATTCTGGCTATGATGTCTTTGTTGGCTGCTATAGGAAATAGCTGTGTTGAGGTCTTTCTATACCATGCTCTCAGGTTAGCAAGCCAGGATATTCTTCTTCATCCTGGGGCCCTTTTTCCTTCAATTCTACGTTGTAAAACGCATTGAAGTAGCTCGTATCTGCCTTGATTTCTCACTATATGGCCCAAGTACTGCAGCTTACGGTCCTTCACGATGTTGACCAAATCCGCAGTTGTGTTTAGCCTCCACAGTACTTCTTCATTGGTGACTTTGTCTGTCCATGGTATCTTCAAGATCCTTCTGTATGACCATAGCACAAAAGCCTGGAGTTTTGATGGAGTTTCCGCCTTCAATGTCCACGTTTCTACTCTGTACTTAAATCATTACTGTCATTTATAATGTGATTTATACCGTCGCTGGTGACGTGGCTTAGGTGAAGTTACCGTGGGCGCCAACGTATAGATGGGCGCTGGGTTTGGCGTGAACATTTCTGACAGTAGTTTATAAGAGGTCTCCAAGTCGAAGGTATCGTTATCTCTTTTATTACCTCAATTTGGTCTTTGTTCAATGTCTATAGCTTTTAAGATAATTATTGGTTTATATAGGGCAGTTGTATGCACTGAGCATGGGGCGCAGAAAAATATCGGGTTTGTGAATTTTGGGTAAACCATATATTCGAGGTGTTCTAAAAGACTTTTCATGAAGAATTACAGATTGTAATCTTCAATCTCAGAGTTATCATAAAGAATAACTAATCCCAAGGTTTTCATCACACTATTACTATCGAAAACCCACTCATATCATTCGTTAATTGCATGCCAAGTCTTATTATCACCTTTCACAAATTAATTCAGTTATTAATACGATTATCTCCAGATCAATACGCCTTTGCAATTATTCCAGTAGACCCAATAGCAGTAATCATATCAATAGGAGTATCCACAGACATCAATCTCGCACTCAATCTCAACTTAAAGACTCGTAAACTCATCATACAAAGCTTTTATTCTTCACATCAAAGGTATCACTGACAAAATCGTTAAAATTCTGAAATGAACATGAAAAAAGACAATATTTATCTCCCCTCCCTAATAATAAAAAATTTCATCTCTTGTTCCATCAATCAAAGAGAACACTATAAATGATCAACACAAAGTTTATGAAATTTCTTGTGTAGACTTTCCCCGATCCGGTCATAAAAATGATTTTGGAAAGGCCCTATCCGCATCTATAAACCAAGAATTATACGAGAAGCTGTAGAAATTGAAAAAAGGCAAAATGTCGCAATAAAAGAGATAACGGCATACGGTTACCTTCTACATGGAGACCTCTCATAAAGAAAATATCGTCCGCTCCACTTACCAACCAAAACCCTATTGTCAAAAATGTTTGCGCCAATCTCCGCACCTATCCTCTAAAAAATACAGACAAACCAATGTTTAATGTTTTGATTTTAGAAGCACCTTTTCTAATGAAAAGACATTTCAGGAAAAAATCTACCAGTTTTGACTAAAAAGGACTACCCATTTTTATTTATAAATAAGAAATTTCACCATATTAAAGTTAGAAAACAACATAACACCATAAGCAATTTAGAAAAACTTACATAAAGGAACTCAAACATGGCAACAATATCATATGGCAAGGACTTACCAGTAAAACTAAAAATGATAAGAAACAAGTACAACATAAAAACAACATTGAAAACAACCAACACTCTAAGATCTATCCCATCCAAAACCAACTCCAACAATTAACAAGAAAAAACTGCATTTGTAAAATACCCTGTGAATGTTACAAGTTCTACGTGGGAGAAACCGCACAACCACTAAGTGTCAGGAAAATGGGGAATGAAATATACATCAAGAAAAAAACTTCTAGATATACCAGATATGTAAACATGCTTGAGACAACAAACACATATCACAATAAAAAGATGCATGATTACCATGAAAAAAAAAACAGCCATAAGAATGAAAAAGTCAAAGAAGCAGCCATCATCCTACTCAACGAAAAAAAAAATGTAAAGCAAACCTTTCAGCAGAATATAGCAGGCTTTAGTTGCCAATACTTAAATAACACACAATACACATATATGCACATCTATTTTTTTACCCAATTTACATCACTCTACCACAATTATGATAGATTTTTTTTACACAAACCTATCACACAAAACAGTCAGAACATTACATTTCTTTAGCCATTACATCCTGTTTTCCCGCAAGATCGATGCCAAGCATGTCATTTTTGAAATGACATAACCAATAACAAAATTTCTGGAGTGAAAATCGAAAGTTTGAACATTTGTTAGTTAAAAATGCGATTTTCAATATAATTAATAATTCTAGCTTTATTTCATATTTAACGGAGAAAAATAACTAACGTGGTACTAATTTTTTCAAAAATATATCCAGCTTTAAGCTATTTTTGACAGTTTTTAATTCTCAGTTGAATTTACTTCTTAATTAACAAAATCACCTTGCAAAATGGAAAATAGCGAGATAATTATGGATGCTTAAAATAACAATTGAAATAAAAATAGTACAAACTCAAACAAACAGTTTTAATTCTGGTCGGTAGTAAATCGTAAATTGTTGAACTCATTTTGGTTAGATATTACGAGCTTTTTATAAGTCAGACAGGTTGTATTATGGGTTTGTAAACTGTGATTTTCTTGTTATTTTTAGAAAATCGGTCACATCTTTCATTATTGGAAATTTTAGTTTTGTTGCTCACATTTAAAGCTCGATAATTGCTTAATTTATTTAAACTACAAACGTATCGCTGATTTTTCGACCATAAGAAGGCATCGCGTAAGCTCAGGCGTAAACGCTGAAGAATATTAAACAATAAAAACTGAAGAACCGAAAACGAACTAGGTACTATAATAAACTAAAATTGAGATAGGGTATATGAACATGAAAAATTACCAAATCGGTTAAAATAAAGCCAGCGGAGGTATCCAGCGATGTGTTTTAAAGTCCATAATGTGGAGGAAATCAATAGCAAACAATATTATGAATAGTGGTAAATGAAAACCATACAAAGATAAACATATTAGAATATATCTCTGTATAGTACAATATTACATAAGGTTAAATCTAAACCTATTACGTTAAAATTACCTCAGAGGAATAATTCAATTTCTATATTAACTATACATTAACAAAATCAAAATAAAATACGACTACGTACTAACTTCTGGCCAGAAGTTTTTTAATCGGGATACAGATACCAAAATCTAATGTTCTACTTTCCACAGAGTATTCATCACCAATAAATACTGGCTATCCATAACATGTTAATTACCCCAAAAAAGACAAAATGTATGCTTACAACAGATACTATAAGTATACAGTTTGCTAAAACTATTTTACAATAAAGTCGCCCCAGGAACATAACTCAGCAATATCGCAATATCATGTTAAAGACGTCTACTTTAAAATGTATTGTTCTAAAGCTATTTTCTTGTGGCATTTTAAATTAATTACTATTTAACTGGGAACACTTGACACACTTTCGAACGAGTTTCATCCAGAACGGGGTGTCAAACAAGGATGTTTACTATCTCCACAATATTTCAACATATATGGGGAGTATATTCTGCGAAGAGCACTTGAAGGATGGAAAAAGGGCATCTCAATAAATGATCATAAACTAAACAACCTACGTTTCGCAGATGACACAGCCCTTCTCGCAAATAGTCAAGCAGAGCTGATGGAACTTATACGACTGATAGAAAACGAAAGTCAAATATTTG